AAATGCTCTGGGGATAAGAAGTTTCCAGCATCCATCTGACACTTCAGGAGCATTTTGATAGCCTGATCTATAACAAAATAGGGTATAAAATTAATCCTACTGGCCAGTCTCCAACTTTCTGTGATCCATGAAATAAAATCAGTCTTTGCATCTTACACAGCTGCATTTGGGTTTGGGTTCAATGTTGAGCTGCCTGTCTGAAGGCAGTGTTGGCCTGACTTCCCCCAGGAGAGCAAGGCCTGAGGATGCCCAACTCCAGAGTCATCACCCTGAGTTCCTTCAGTGACTGGGGAACAACACGTGACTTGGATTAACACCTGGATCAGGGGTATCAAAACCCCTGCAGCTCAAGCCCCCAGGGACACCAGGCTGTCTGCCAGGAGACCCCAGCCGCAGAAGCAACAGTGCCATCTCATGGCTGGAACTCCCGGTGTGTCTCATTCCCCAGGTGGAAGGAATTCCCCCAGCTTCGGGGCAGGAAGCTGAGCCTTACCAGCCCTCCCAGCTCTCAGCAGTCCTGCTGCTTTCTGGACTCGTTGCTGAAGGTCCCCTAAACGGCACGACAGGCTCTCTCTGCTGACTGAGACTCCACAAGCTTCATCTGAACAGCAAAGCATGTCTTCTCCCTGTTGGAATCACCCCTGTGATCATCCCTGCTCACGTTCAGCTCCCAGCTGCCTTTCCACCCCCATCATCCCCGTGCTGGGGCTCAGAGATGCTCAGTTCTCAGCTGCATTCATTAAAGTGACTTGCTTGTAAATTGTTATTAGTTTATCTGATTCTAGGAGAAACTCCTGAGAATACCTATGACCATGTGAGCTATAAACAGCTACTGCTCACACAAAACACGCCCTGTGTTGACTTCTCCCCATCTAACCCACACCACGTTCTGTGTCCATTTGCACCCTGTGACTCTCTCCAGATACAGACCCTGGACATACAACTCAAGGCCTCCATTTTCCTTCCTAAATATCTCCCTTCCCCTAATCCATAGCCCTGATGTTTTAATAATCCTTCATCAAGTTCAAAGGGATTTTAACTTGCTGTTAAAGGCATTATTCTCCTTATCATGCTGGAGGGCTGACATGCAAGGATATTACAAGAAAGCTGCTAAGAACAGTGAACTGCCTTGACTCTACAGGGGCTTTTGCCTTCTGAGCAGAGATCACAAACTAAGGTCTTAAACTCTTGACTTCCCCAGAGATGCAAATGTTATACATCTTGGTAATTTATACAACTATGAAAGAATTACCTGCATTGGAGCCTGGCAGCTGGGACAGCAGAAAGAGTTTCTCAGGGCCAACCCACTCTTGCCATCAGACTGTAACTCCTCCAGGCATGCCTGACAGTGACACTCAAAGAAATACTGTCTGAGAAGCTGTTGTCTCTCAGCAACCCTCATCCTACATTGGTGAGGTCCTGCAGAGGGATGGCAAGGGTGGGAAAATTGAGAAGAGATGTAACATCTTTTGGAGACGACAAAACTGGAGACTAAAAATCTAACAGTGGGCTCAGGAGAGAAAAATCTTGCATTGATATTTTTGATCAAGGCTTATCCATAAACAAAGATTCCAGCAACACTCTCCTGGGAATGATGATATTAACAGCAATCAGTTGGCATGCCAAGTAGAGGTGAAGGATGTCTGTGCTTTGGGACAAGCAGAGAGTTAAAACTTACCATAGCAATGGAAAATCTCTTGGCCACTTGGGATTGGCTGTGAGGCCCTGACAGTGACAGTTGCCCCACTAAATGACAGGCTGGGATTGGGGCCGGAGGAAAGGGTCCGGA